CAGGCCAAGCTCCAACATCTAGAAACAAAGGTGTTGATTTCTCTCCAGGATGGAGTCACAGCCAAACAGGAACAGACCAGATGAAGCGAGATTGAACTAACAATTTCTGCAGTGTGATAGAATGAAGCAGAATGATGAAAAAGGGGTCCCTATGTCCTCCAGCGGTCTAAGCCTATAGCAGCAGAACTATAGAGATAGCTCAGGATAACCTGAGCCACTCTAACTAGAAGCTTTATCAAAAAGGAAAGTTTTAAGCCTAACCTTAAAACTCATGTTTGCAAAACTAAGCTATTTTTATTTTATTTTATTTTATTTATTAAGTGTTTTATTTCTCCTTTCTTCCAGATCTGATGATTGAAATGGAGGATCACACCAGTGACCTGAGCGAAGGTCGTATCCCCTTCCTGGACTATAAAACCTACACAGACAGAAACTTCTTCCTGCCGTCCAAAGAAAACGCCAACGACCCTATGATCACCGGAAAAATACAAATCCCAGAAGCTCGTAGGGCGACCGTGACGCAGGCGCTCAACCAGTTCTCCAACCTGCTGAACAGCAAAACTTTTCTCATCAACGTGAGTTTGAAACTTCTGACGACTCTCTGCTTCCCTGCAGCTGATTCTATTAACGGCTCCACACCTAGATCTATGTGATTCTATCTTTAATCTAATTCCTATGCAGTTTATTCACACATTGGAGAGCCGTCCGGACTTTAACGCCCGCTCTCGGGGAAACTTTGCCTCCCTTCTGACGGTGGCGCTGCATGGTAAGCTGGAGTATTACACAGACATCATGAGGACGCTGCTGCTGGAGCTGATGGACGAACACGTTCAGAATAAAAACCCCAAACTGATGCTCAGGAGGTGAGAACGTTTCACAGACGTGTCCATGTTTCCCTTCTGTTTATGCCTGCAGCCGTTCCTTAAATATTTCATGAGCACCTTTTTCGACTTTAGGGCTTTATTTTTCTTTTACATTTTGATTCCATATAAAATCTTTAAAAATAAGTCTGAGCTGTTTTGTGTGGCCTTGTAAATTGATAATTGTGACTGCAGAAGGAGTTTGTGTTCCGTCGTCCTGGCTCAGGCAATAGAGAGGTAATCAGCAGCGCGGCTTGTTCGGCAGCTGCCTCGCCTCCCGCTGTGAACCCTGACAGCACTGTGATTGTACAGACTGTGTCTGGGAATGCCAAAACCCTTTTTATAAGTTTGAAGTGATAGAAAAATGATTTCTCCCGGCGTTCTCGTGGATCTCATCTTTTTTTTATTGTCTCCTGTGTGCATGCAGGTCAGAGACGGTGGTGGAGAGGATGCTTTGTAACTGGATGTCCATCTGCTTGTACCAGTTCCTCAGGGTAACACAGATTCACTCACTGCTTCTGTTCTTTGATCTCTCCTCCTTCTGCTTTCATTCAATTCTTTCCTATAACAACCTTTCTTAGGTGTTGAACATTTCGCAGTAGATTGTGTCACGATTTCTGATCCAGCCTTTTATCGTCCCTTTCAGTAAAACTTTTCTCTTTGATGCTGCCATTGGCTGATTCTTCATTTGTGTAATGAGTTTTTACAACATGTACCAAGAAATTGTCCAAAGTGTAAAAATTGAGGAAATAAGTAGGACTGAAACGATTAATCGATTATTTAAATAATCATCAGCTAATTTAGTAATAGATTAATCGTTAACTAGTTTATGGAGACTGTTGATGATGCCTTAAGCCAACAGAGCGACCCACTTAGAGCAGGAATTATATCAACATTGTAAAAAAATAAACATTTAGCTTTTCAGTTGGTGAAGATTCTCAGTCATCCAGGTGAAAAAAAAACAATCCACTGGACTTTGTTTCCAAGTTTGAAGACGTTTCTCTTCCATCCAGGAAGATTTTTCAATTCAAAATGTCAGAAATAGCGTTTAGTTCCAGGTTTTATCCGGCAGCCCAACAAAGCCTGGTTTTAGTTTAGAAAACATGCCCCTTTACAGGGGAACAGAAGACCTCCCCTATTCAACCAGGCCAACAACTCCCTCTAACGACCCCCCTTTCAGA